CCATTCCATTCCGTTGCAAAACGTCGCCACCATTCAGTAAAGGATCACCGTTACGGATGAATAGTTACACACGAATTTTGAACAATTGGACGCCACTGGGAGAATCTGATGCATAGTCTGCGAGTAAATATCACGTGCAGAGCGACTGTGGTCATCCAGAACAGACCATACAACATGCCTATATGCAATGCCTGATCCACATATACGAAGGAGACATCACGGCGATACACTCCACTGCTCCTGACGCGGTTGTCCGGCTTGACCGCCTGAATGTGAAATCGTAGTTGTCGCTCTGCATCCACATCAGCAACCGTACGAAAAAAAGAAAGAAGATGGACAGAGCTAAATAGAAGGCAGGCCGTGATCATCGACGTCTTGGAGAAAGGATGTGAAACAAAGGCAGTGAAAGAGAGTCACCGTTTTGCAGCTTAACCTCACTTGCCTTCACACCCAGAGGACATAAAGACAAATATCCCCCGTATAGCCTGAATAGACTGTTGGGGCAAGTGTTGTTAGCGAGCACCTACAAAGGCCAGCACGGCACACCAGGGAGTGGGTGGCGATGTTTACACATCGCACCAGGTACTCATTTGAGGCTGAGTCGACCTAGGGGAGGCCCAGGACCGGATCAAATGGCCGTGAGCAGGAATCGAACTCGGATCGCCAGATTCGTAGCGCAGCGCGCTAACCGCTACACTACCGCTCCCCAGCGGAGAAAACAAAACCCAACACACAAAATCTTAACCGCTCTCCGAATTTGCAGTTGTGCAAAGGCGTCGCCGTCATCAATCACGTGGTGTGCCCTGCCACCTATTGACAACCTCCGGAATTGATAAATATTGCCACGCGAACACCGCAGTCGTGCCACAATGACGACGCAATATTATACCCCACAAATTGCACAGCCCCCCAGATAAGTTACACGATCACTACGTCTCGTTACCTATTGAAAGGGATTACATAATTGTTGCAACGCCCCCCCCCCAACCCCCATCTTTAGTGGGGAGAGGGTAAAGTCCTGGAGGTAGCGCTGATATTAATCTTCTTCTTCTGCGCTCTGCCTTCGTACTAAGGCTGCCACCTTATCCATCCTTCCCATCATCTGCCATTCGCCCTCTTCTTTGTGACAACGACCGTCCCAGTTCCATCAGCTCCTCTGACATCGCGACCCTTGGGCCTTTCCCTCGTTCTCTTCCCTTCCATTTACGAACTTTTCGTTTTAGAAGTGGCAATGCAGAGAGAGAGAGAGAGTGAGCGAGCAAATTGTAATTCTTTGCTGGGTCAGGGGACATTGGGTTCCAAGGTTGTTGCCGAGCGGGCCTATTTAGAGGGGGTAGGGGTGGATTGTCGACAATGGAATGAGCTGCGTGCAGTCGGCAACACGGTTAGGAAACTACAGGTAGCGCAGAAGCCAAAAAGACAAACAATGCAAATAATGACAACGAAAAATATTAATCTGAAAATAATAGCTCCTTCCCAAGAAGTGCACTGTGCAAGGTCTCTTTGAAATGCAGACTTTTGTGAAATCAAGTTAAATACTGCGTGTTTTTCTTGTTGAAATGCCAAACAGCATTAATAATAATAGTGAAAGCTTGAACTCCTAGGTAGGTAGATGTGTTAATGAATACCCTGCAATTTAAATGAGTCACTGGATAATAGATTGAGGTCAGATGTGTTACGGGAAGCCATCCCAAAGTCAATGTGATTTTCTGCTCAAACGATTATCGCTCATCTCCTGTTTATATCCCTGAGCCAACGGTGGAAATTTCCACTTTCCTATGGCGGCGCCGAGTTCTCCATAGGGAAAAATTAACCCGTAAAAACAAAGTTTTTCACTATAAATCCTTTATATGCGTGGCATCGGTTTTATTTTATTATTCATTTCTGTTTTTCTTGAGTAAGAGTTTCATTTTTATCACATTGGTATTTTAAATGAAATATGAAAAATTGTTTTTCCTAAAAAGTGTAAAATTTTGGAAAAAAAATTTCCACGAAAATAAATTGTCACGCACAACGAGTCTGTGTGCAAAATATCAGCTCGATTGGATCACGGGAAGCGGGTTAAAAAACGACCGAAAGATTTGCACGGTCGTAAGCGCGCAAGCAAGCAAGCAAGTGAACTTAATATAAAGGATTTAAAAACACTGTTGGTTTCTCCACAAGGTGGTTCACATTGATCAATCCTGGAGAGATGATGGGCAGTCAACCTATCACCCCCCAACCAGGAATTGACCTCGCAAACTTCTGATTGCAACGTTCTGGCTCTACCGCTGAGCCGTCTGACCGACGCTACACCGCATGCGGGCGACGTCATAACGTGTGGCTTTAGAAACTGCTTCATCCTCAGCACATTAAGTCCCTATTGTAATGTTAATGCACTATAAGCTATTATATTCCTGAGGTTCACTACAATTTATTACGATGCTTAAATGCTTGGCAAATTAGCGAGCATTATGTGTATTCATGGGTACATTAACCATAACCATGGGGAATAACAGCTGTGGTTGATATATTATACAGCAAAACGCTGTGGGTTATATATTACCCATACAAATATAACCAACACATAGTGCTTAATTTATCCCGCAATAGTCCAGAATGCAATTCCAGGAACTATTTTATCATGCCACATCCATTTAACCTAATTTTGTCCTAAACTTGTTGACATTATTATAGCAAATATACGGTAAATAGTAATATGTATAGGCATACATTGTACTCTAGTGGTAGTACCTTACGCCAAAAATCCATCAGCCTGGCAGCATTCCGGAAAATACCGAGTGAGAAATAAAACCCTGCCTCTACACAGGGATTACCTGCTACTAGTGTTTGTGTGGAGATATATACACGTAGGCCTTGAAATGAGGCTGGTTAAAGGTTAATCTGCATGCTTAGTTATGGATCGTTTTAAAGTGAAGTGAAAGTGATTGAAGCTCCAACTCATTGTTTTTAATCGGTTCCTTCCCCTGGTGCCGCAATGCCAAACATATTGAAAGGTGTAAGTGGCTGAGAAAATCAATCATAACAGCAACATAGCGTAGGCCAGAAAATCATAATTTTCTAAATAAAAATACGTCTGAATTACAGAAACGTAGAATTCTGCAGAACGTAGTAAATGTTTTTTTGGGTTAGGTTGCGTAAATATTCACGTGTCGTTAAACCCGCCACCACCCAACGAAGCCAATTAGTAAGGGTTGTCACGTAAATAAAACATTCCGTCTAGCTACTACTTCAGCACACAATCTCACAACATTTACAGAAATCTTCAGCACGTGTATTCAGCCATTTTGGGAATATCTGCTTTCACACCCCATTATCGCACTTTCTACCGTCTCACATCCACTTTTAAACCTATTGCACCTCTCAAACACACTTCCGCGTGTGAGGCCACGCATCAACCGACCCGTTGCGCTAATCGCCTGAAAATGTCAGCAGCTTTGGAATTTTCCCTTCAGCAGAAAACGTCAAAACTCGATGCTGCTGTCCCACAGCATATGCTCGCCACCATCTTGGAAATAGCCCATACTGCATTGCACAATTGTGATGTCACTTCACGCACACAACGCCAGACGTTGCTACTGCCGGTTCACAATCAACGATCTGTCATTCTTTAACATTTGTTATATTAGTTCCCTTTCTTCTTTTATCGAAGATGGGGCCAAACAATAACATGTTTCCACCTCTTTTCGTCTCGCATTGGCTTCACAGCTTCCTTTGCCTGTCACCAATCTTGTTCAAGAGCGATCTTCACATGTCAAGCCACCGCATCTTTGCTCTTCCCTTATATCTCGTTCCGTTTAATTTTGTGCCCGATCCAATGTTTAGTTCTATTCCAGACATCATGTGGCCAAACAGTGTTGCCAACTGTCAGGGATTGACCTGGGCAGTCCAGGAATTGGCATGTCCTGTTTTCGGGCGGCAGAAATTAATTGTACCGAGATTTGGTCCCTGTGTTGCTGCGTTTTGAGAGTAGACCTCGTGCTGATTGAGACACACGTGTGCGTGTTTGGTTTGTAGAAAGGTGGCAGCCCGATGTTCAACCCAAACAGAGTCACAGCCGTTGGATCTTCTCTAAAAGTGTTAGCTTATCACATGTAATACCTACAGATTGGGACACATACATTTGACAGCATTTAGGAACACATATCTGCAAGTTAACTTGAGCCACTCTCCTACAAATACATATTATACATACAATGGGACGTCGGCTATAAACAAAAAGCCACCAACTCAAATAGTATCATGTTAGGCCTTGCGGTTATGCAATGATCATGTCATAATATTATACCGTGTATTCTGTATATATATATACACCGGCTTTTAAACTACGTTTATCGAATAACAAAGCATACGGTTGCGTCTCGGTAAGCCCGTGTCAAGGTTTTTTTTTTTATGAGAGTAGGCGATCACGCTCTCTATCACCAATTTTCACTCAGATCCGAGCCCCGTGGTTTTCTGTTAACTGCCGAGGGGCTCGTTAATTAACTGGGTAAACATCCCAAGGCACGGCCCTCCCCTAAAATAAAGTATCGTGATTAATTGAGGCTCTGCCTGTGTAAATAAAGGGTAATATATTATTGCTATGACTAAAATTAGTAAGATATGCTCGGTGATTATATACGACGTGCAATGCAAACGTGAATAAATACGTATTTAAATTGCTTACACTTGTCGTAAATACCTTATTTATGAACGGCGTTACATTTACCGGATAAAAAAAACGAGAGGTTGAAATTAAATTTTAATTAACTTTCGTAAAACTTCGATTTAAAGATTTCGTGACTGCAGGGATTAATCTTTTTGGGTCTTTCGGTAAAGTCACGTAGAAGGGAAATAATTAAATAAATAAAATCAAACAATAAAATACTATATTATTTTATTATGTTTTTTTAATAAAAATAAAGCATAATAAAATATATTATTTTATTATTTTTATAAAACATAATAAAATATATTAATTTATTATGTTTTATTTTTATTATTTTATTATTTCCCTTCTACGTGACTTTACCGAAAGAACCAAGAAGATTTCGTAAAACTGGCGAGGATACCAAAAGTTAATTAATAAGCCTTCAGCGGGCTCTAAGCAATTGCGTCGTGGTGAGTCGGATACGCACAGGCCTCTTGGTCCAGCTATCTCTACTGGCGCAAGGGGGCAGCATTGAACCTGCAATGCAAAAGGGACCAAAGCCATCGGAGATGTCACTTGCATGGTGCCGGCCTCCAGAGGGCCATGGCACGCAATGCACCAAAGCATCAAAGCAAGTAACGCTGCGAGGGCTTGAAATGAACGTCGCCCCTTCCACTCTCAATGCACGCGTTCGGTCGCGCATGGGACTGTCGATTATTTACACGGCGCGTGGACAACACAGCGAATGTTACTCCTCGGCTAAGGGAGCGAACGCAAGCCACGAAATGAGACAGAGCGGGGAAACAACTGGGGGAGCAAGGTGCATCGGTTTCATCGATGAACACCGATTGCGTGGAAGCGAACCGATAAATCTATGTTTTTTTTTACACATGCCAATAACACATGCAGATTAAATCAGGCAGTGTGCACGTGCTGGATTGATCTTTGCATCGTCAGATCATGGGAGGTTTCCGGCGGTTTGGGGAGGCCTTCAACCAGCAGTAGATTTATCATGGCTGCTGAGATGACATGGCCCAAATTTAGTTGGGTGTTATAAAATTTTAGCATGTTCTCTCGAAATTTAAACAAAACAAAGATTGTGACCATGACACTTATATTGCCAACTTTAGCCCCCAACTTGCTATAATGCCCCATAACTAGCTCTTAACTCTACCCCTATCAGTTTAACACGTAGGCTTTCGCGACCAATATTATTCATAATCAACGTTTTTGGGTTTAGATCGCGTTATTTATAAATGTGTCGTAACCTTCCACCACCCGACACGGCCAATCAGTAAAAAAGTGTCACGTTGACAAAAGACAAATAGTTCACTGCTTTAGCCCACCGGTGTGTTGAAGCGTGAAACCACAACATTTACAATTTGAGTACGACGTTTCGCTGGTAATTGCATCCAGCATCATCGGGCAATTCGCCAGAATGGTGAGGCTCTGCTGTGTCTCCCGTTCCTATATAGAGCAGCAGCAGGGTGACGTCATCATTACCCCTATCCGTAACGTTTGTCTTACCGCTAACCCAAAGGTTGCCCTAGCTCGGACTGTAAACATCCTCACACTAGCCCTGGCTCTAACTCTGCCACCTGGCGTTATCCGTAGCCCCATCTGCAGCCCTAACTCTATCCATAAAGAGCCATCGTCCCTGTCCTGAATCCAACCCCAACGTGAATCTAATTCTAAATCTAATACTAAGCACACATTTAATATGAATGCTAACCTCATATATGTGACCCTAATCTTAAATATAACCCTGGGACAAATGTTCCAAGTACCTAATCCTAACAGGATGAATTGAACACATCTGAGATACAAAGCCAGAGTGACTCGTCTGCAGATAAATGAAATTGGATACATTGAGAACAAAGCTTTTTCTGACTTAGTTCGGAGATGAACCTTACACCCTAAATCTGTCACTTTCACAGCTTAGCTTTTACCACAACCCTAACCACAACGGTAAACTCATCATAATCCTAACCCCGAAGCGAAACGAAGTTGTACCCCTAAGCAACTTCTTAATCCAGCGGTTCTCAACCCGTAGATCGTGCTCATCAAAGCCTTTCAAGGGGGCGCAGGCTGCGGCATGGATACCGTGAATGGGACATTTCAAATGCACTAGTTTGTGGCGACAAGACACACCGACACACAGCGTGGACACGCGCCTCGCCAGCGCCGAGTCGACTCGAGCCGTGGGTTCATTTCAGCGACCCAATCCGAAATCAAATCCTCGCACAATCCTCCCGTCATAGCTCCGACGTCTATCCCCATCCACTGCGCCCCATCTCCCCGGCCCCTCCAAATTGAACGAGCGAGCCGTCGTGCGAGCGAGCGAGTGAGCGAGCGTCAGCCGCTAGAGTCTGGTGGAAATCGTCGCCCGGCCGTCGTCCCCCGGCAGAGCGGAGCGCCCGTCCGCCACGCAGGCGAGCGACCGCGCTCGCGACGCCGTGGCCACCGTGGCCATCTCCGCGTAGCCACCCGCCCGGGGCTCCCCGAGCGACCGCGACGACGATCGCATCTGCGTCTCCGCCTCCACGGATCCCAGCGACGCCGCCGTGAAGGCCGAGTCGGAGGCCGACACTGCGCTGCCGACTGGCGGCGCCACGGTCCGTTCGACGCCGGCGAGCGACGACACGGAGTTGACGCGGACGCCGTTCTTGTCTTCGCCGGGACGGGGCGCCCCCCCCGAGCCCCCGTCGGCGCTCCGGCGCACGTGGTGCCAGGCGAGGAAGAGGAAGACGAAGGCGGCCACCTTGAGTCCCGCGGCCATGCCGAAGTAGACGAAGCGCAGCGCCGTGCTGTCGTACTCGAGGCACGAGCCCACGACGCCGCACGAGTCGCTTTGCCACAGCATGCACGTGGTGTCGATGACCGCGCCAAAGTAGATGGGTGTCGGGATGTAGGCTGCATGACAAAGGGAAAGTTGTCCCCCCCCCCCCCACCGTGTAGCATCAACAGACTGTTGGGGCAAGTGCTGGCTAGCGAGCAAATATATGAAGGCCTGCACACCGGCACACGGAGGGGGTGGGTGGGTAGCACCACGCCCGGCCGCATTTGTCTCCCAACTGGCGATGTTTTACACACCGCACCAGGTACTCATTTTAGGCTGAGTCGGCCTAGGGGAGGCTCAGAACCGGTTCAGATAATCGTCACTGGTGTTGGCCGTGAGCGAGAATCGACACTCGGTTCGCCGGGTTTGTAGCGCAGCGCGCTAACCGCTACGCTGATGCTCCACACGCGCGCGCGCACATGCACACGTGAAAGACAAAGATCTCCCGCACGGGATTTTAAAGACTATTGGGTAAAGTGGTGTCCGCGAGCACCCGTTAAGGCCAGCACGGTGCGCGAGTGAGATATAGCGTGGCCATCAAAACGCGTGTACACCATCGTCAGCGGCGATACCTACGCACTGCGCTCGGTTACTCATTCAAGGCTGAGTCGACCTAAGGGTTCGATCCCAATCGAGTTATTTACACTCAGTAATTTAGAGTATTTAGCTGCTATAAATTTGCACGTGATAAGCCACGTTTGTGGCCAGGTCGCTTCTGAAAAAGAGCTACATAGCTTAGTGGGCCTTAGCAGGTAAAATAATATAAAATAGTTTTTTGGTTTAGTTTAAATGACTAAATTATTATTTTACACAGCATCCTATTTAAACACAATGTCAATAACAACAAAACAAAAACAAAAAACTCCGGATAAACGAAATAAGTAAACCCGTAAAAACAAAGTTTTTCACTCTAAATCCTTTATATGCGTGGTGGCTAGAGTCCTCTCGTCCTCTGGCTTGAGATGGCTGCCACCTATGGGTCAGATGATTGTCTGCAGTATTAAACAATTGGTAATTAAATATAATATTTTTGTCATATAAAGTGTAACATTTTGGAAAAAAATTTTCACGAACATTAATTGTCACGCACAACGAGTCTGTGTGGAAAATGTCAACTCGATTGGATCATGGGAAGTGGGTTAAAAAACGACTGAAAGATTTACACGGTCGTAAGCAAGCAAGCAAGCACGCAAGCGAACTTAATATAAAGGATTTAAAAAAAGGATCCGATCGCGAGCTGGGAAATTGCTGAGCGACAGTGGGGGAACGCGCCTCTCACCCAGGGCTCGGAGGAGCACGAACTGCATCCCCAGGGCGAAGGGACGGTCTCGCTCCGGGAATGACCTGAACCCCCGGATCAGAGGGCAGGGGGTGGAGGATGTGGGGGAGGGGAGGGGGGAGCCGAGGAACAACATTCACAAAGCGTTTCGGTTCAGTGCGGATGAGTTCAAAATAGTTTAGCTCAATCGGAATCAGAATCTTCAGAGTCTTAGTTCAGACTGGGAGGAGGAATCCGATGAGCTGTGAAGCTTTTTTTCGCAGATGTCTGTTTGGGGGTGGGGGGGAGGTCAGCAAGTTACAACAGCAAACGATTCAAAAACACAATAGTAGTGCAAAATACAAATAAATTGAAAACAAGGGCCAAATTGTAAATACATTAATTCAGTGCATTAGTCCAATTGATCAAGCTTGGGCAAGGCAGCATAAACAATATCAAAGAGCTCAATGCAATGTATATTTATATATATACGTGAAGCCTAAGTGTCTGCTTGACCAACCACTCCTCTCCATCGGCAGCATTGGGCTAGTGGTGGACATCCCACATTCCTATGTCAGGGCCAAGACTATCCGTAGGAATACCAGTGCTGGCTGTGAACAAAGCGTTATCAACCAGAAGCATTAGATTTCTGGGGAATTGTTTTTTATCTCCCCCTGCATGCAAACCCTCATTGCAAGATACATTTGGCAATTACTCCTGATGCCAGACGAGGCTTCATATTTCAAACTGCTGCTGCTGTTTTACAATCTGCTGCTGCTGTGCGCTCTGTTGTTGTTGGTGTGTGCCACTGCTGCCACTGCTGCTGCAGCTACACAAGGCACCAGGTTCTTCGTCAAGCGGTCAGTACAGAGTCGCAACCTGTGAGCGTTACATCTCGACTCAGTCGTAACGTTGCATGCATGTATCGTAGACTTCTTTCGCGCACCGTACGTAGGCAGCCGTGCTAGTCGGAGGTGCGTTACATTCCCACTCCTGATTCGCTGTTTGCCTTGGCGGCCGAATTGTAAACGTCGTGGGTTTAACTCTCCAACACACCCGGCGTGTGCTCAAGTAGTAACTAATTGGCACGTTTGGTTTACGTGGCAACCCGTTACCGATTGGCCACGTCGGGTGGTGGTGGGTTAACGAAACATTTATATTTACACGATCTAACCAAAAAAAATAAAAACTTTATTTTGAACCAGTGATGAGGTCACGGACAGCCACACCTGAATAAAAAGTTGGAATATAAATAATCCCATTGCAGCCCTTTGTTGAAACCGTTTTGCTTTCTTTGATAACTCGACATCTGTGAAAAACGAGCTTCATAGCTCATCACTCTGAGATGATTATAATTATAATTTTTATCATTGTGTAATAAAGGACTCTCTCTCAGATGTCGATCTCCGTTGTCCTTTATTGGGTTCATAGAATCTCGTTACCACGGCGTCTCGCTCAAGGCCCGCGTCCCTCCCGACGATCTCTCCACAGCCACTCGGCTGCTCCGATATGCAGTCTCCCTGCTGCTCCGTTAGGCAGTCTCCCTGCTGCTCCGTTAGGCAGTCTCCCTGCTGCTCCACCTTGCCGCCACACCACTGCTCCGCTCTCTAGCTTCACTGCTGCCCCGTATACAGCTAGCCTCCCACAGCCGCTAGCTCTCTGCGTCTGACACCGATGGCTGACGGTGTCGACGTCTCCCACCGCGTGGCGACCGCGCCACTCTCTCCGTCCTGCCCAGCGTGGCCTCCTCGTGTTTCACTCCGTCTCCACTCCCCTTTTCCCCTTCCGGTTCTCCCCCTAAATCCTCTCTCCCACGTGACCCTAACTCCACCCACTCCCCACGTGACCCAGACTCCGCCCCCCCTCAATCCTTGTTTGCATTACAATTGTTATCGCTGTCCGGTGATCTTTTTTTGGATGGTTAAGTATTTTGTTCAGCGTGTTGTGGTTCACGTGGAATAGAAAGATTGGTTTATGCAGGCAGAACCTGCATGGCCATGCGGTTGCGCGTTCCCCCCATGCTTGTTGTGGAGGTCCACGGTTCGAACCCGACAGGCCGCTCTGGTTATTACCGCGGTTGTATTAACCGCAAAAAATAAAATAAAAACGTCGTCTGCTTTACAGTGGACATCAAAGCTCCCGTTACATCGTTGGAAAATAGCGGCCCACCGTTTTCTAGCATCGCGGTCCAAAGTTTCCCATTTCGATAGATTACACCCCAAACTACTCAATTGGGATTACACCCACAGCAATAACATTGCCTGCTGCTGTGAAACTGCTCCTGACTGCGTCTGTGAAATGCAGCAGCGACCTTCCTTCGCGATAGCCTTGCGCCTACATAAGAACGATAGCTCCATGACCAAATGCGCTCAATAATTACCGTCGTCGTCATCAACATCGGCATCATCGGCATCATCGTAGTCATCGTGACCCTCACCGGAGTGTGACAATGATGGCGGAGGGCTGGGCGCACACCGTGATGAGGGTCACCGCGAAGAGGAAGACGAGGAACGGGGCGAGCGTGCCGCACTCCTTGCGGCACTTCCCCGGCGCGGCGAAGCCGGCAGAGTGGAGGTTCGTTCGCACGATGAAGATGCCAGCCAGGCCCGGCACCGCACCGCTGCCCGACGGCGCCGACACGGCCGCCGTGGCCACCGCCGTGGCCACCGCCGCCACCACCTCTTGGCTCTGCACGCACGTGCACTCCGTGAAGTTCAGCACCTGCGGAGTGGAACAACGGTGGAGCGTCCAAATTGAGCACCTCACTTGCTGGGCCCGCGCATCGCGGTGCCGCCTGGCTTTGACGTTCCTCATCGTGGGCACCGGTCGGTTGGAACCGTCAACGTCGTCGGAACGTCGACAGGCCGATGCGCGCATCTGACTCGTGAAGGGTAAAATTAAAGACAAGTTACGGGATTTGCGGTCGTGGCCAGCAGACCTCGACATTGAAATTTTGCTCCCGAACCATATTTCCATCTTGCGCAAGGACAGAATAGAAAACCGAGAGGAGGAAAAACCCTGAGGCAAAGATTCAGTCACCTTGTGCCACACAGGGTCGGGTGCCACTGAGTGGTGTCCTTTCAAATATGTTTACATAACAGGTGACAATGTAAGTCGCTCATCGCACGTAAGTGCTCTGAGATACCCCCGGTCGATTCAGCCTTAAATGAATGCCTGGTGTGCAATGTATCTAACATCACTACTCGGGAGACAAAGGCGGCCGGGTGTGGTGCTGGCCATCCACCCTCTCATGTGTAGTGTCGGCCTTCAACGTAAGGTGCAAAAGAAGTTCAATATACTGTACATACATAAATGGCCCAACATCATGTGAAGCCTATACGGGGAGATATTTGTGTTTGTATTTGTGCGTGTGAGCATGCTTGCATCTGTGTGTTGGGAGTTTGCACGGGAAGAAGCACATGTGGTGTATTTGCCAGTCATCTCTGTCAGTCAACCCATGACACCTGGGTCTGATCTGTGACCTCCTGCCAGCAGCAAGCCTTCAACACTTCACGTGTGTAAGCGTGTATGAATAACTTCTTTGGCAATGCACGTGGCCAAAGGAAGGACGACACGTAAAGCAGTTATAAGGAAATTAGTTTTCAATCGAGATGATTTAAAGGGGCACAGCTCCAGTACAGCGGTGGCCAACCGGCATCTCCTGAGCCTCATGCGGCGTAACGTAGAACACACTATCACAGTATCAAAGAATAATGAATGTCTCCCGTGCTGTGCCGAAAACCATCAATATATACACAGACACTAATATATGCATTTGGCTCTTTGCAGAACTTAATGGTGTTCTTTTTAGCTATTGGTCTGTTATAAGGAGACCACCCCTGCTCCAGTGGCATCCCAATAACGGAAGGAAGAGCGTTCCAGACGGCCGCAGAAGTTCCTCTAGCCTGAAGGTGCACCTATCCTGGCACAAGCGCGATGCCAACGTCACCGCCACTTCGTGGCGAACGGCGGTGGTTTGCTGCTGCTGCTGCTACTGCTGCTGCTACTGCTGCTGCTGCTGCTACTGCTGCTGCTGCTACTGCTGCTGCTACTGCTGCTACTGCTGCTGCTACTGCTGCTGCTGCTGCTACTGCTGCTGCTGCTACTGCTGCTGCTACTGCTGCTGCTGCTACTGCTGCTGCTACTGCTGCTGCTGCTACTGCTGCTGCTACTGCTGCTGCTACTGCTACTGCTGCTGCTACTGCTGCTGCTGCTACTGCTGCTGCTACTGCTGCTGCTACTGCTGCTGATGCTGCACACTCACGCCCGTGGCGGTGTCGTTGATCACGCCGCTGCACCCGGCCAGGCAGGGGCTGAAGTAGGTGATCCCGTCGGAGCCGCACACTGGCGAGTAGCTCCCCGCGCGGCACCCGCAGCGCACGTTGCAACTGCCCGTCAGGTTGCGCTGTCGCACGGTCAGCGAGGGTCTGCACAGGGTAGCGCAGGGGAGAGCCGGTCAGCCGTCTCTTTCTCTTTCTTTGTTTTACGATCAGAAGAAATCAAGGAGATGCTCGGTGTAGTCGGCACTTTGCTTTGTTCATTATTTCGTTTTTTTATGCTTTGCTCTATGTAACCCCCCCTCCCCCCATTTTAAATGAAAGATTTCATAAAAGTTGTCACGTTCTGCTCTTCTTACCCCTTCCCTATCTCTCTACTCCCTCTCTGCCCCCCCCCCCTCTCTCTCTACCCCGTCTCTCCCTACTCCATGTCGCTCTCTCTCGCTCTATATTTTTTTTAACTACGACAAGTGCTGCATCTGCACCCAGCCATTCTCGCAGTCCAACGGCCTCCGACGGGTAGCTCATATCTCTCTCTCTCTCCTCGACGATCGAGGTGTCATCGCGGCCAAATCCGACGCTGGTGTGTGCGCGCGCGTGTGTTGAACTTCTTTCGCGCCACACGTAGTCATCCGTGCCAATCGGGGGTTGCTCGTGCCACCGCCGCACCGCGTCGCACCCTCTCTCTGCCAGATCCGCACCGCCGATGCTGTACAGCAGAGACGCAAAGCGACCTCTGAAATCTGCCCTGACAGTCTCCCACCATATTCTTTGGTTCTTTTGGTAAAGTCACGTAGATATTAAAAAAAAAATAAACTCACTACGTTTCGATCGCAACACAAGCGGTCGCCATCAGGCACCTGATGACGACCGCTTTTATGGATTTATTTGTTTATTTTTTATTTTTTTTTATCTACGTGGCTTTACCAGAAAGAACCAAAGAAACATGAATTCCTGCAGTCACGAAAGTTTTAAGTCATAAGTCTCCCACCACCTGAAGTTTGCTCTTCTCCCCTGGTCGCCGGACTATCGGAGACCACTCCGAACCCCGTGTCGGCAATCGGTCCTCCCCCTGACCCACCCCCCTCGCGTTCTGCACAATGCGTCCCACCCAGCGCAACCCTTAGTTGGCTGACCATTGCCGCAGCGCTCACCTGACCTGCATTGTTCTCCACCGTGATCCTGCTGCACTGCCCGCCCTGTCTTGCCACGACATTGCCGGCATCCGTCTCGGACATCTGTTGCCGCTAATGGTCATTCTTGTTGCTGCTGCTGCGTCTGCTCGTACCTGTGCTGCTACGCTTTTACTGTCGCTGCTGCTGCTGCTAACGACGACAACGACCAACTTTCAATCGAATACGAATTCACGACGAGGAGTAGAAAGGGGACGTGGGCAACATAGAGGCCCCCCCCCCTTCGTTACCCGGTGGTGTAGGGGATGCTGATGCCCCCCAGGCTGATGCTCTCACAGCCGACGATGAAGAGCGTGGAGAAGCAGAGGAGGGAGACGCCGCTGCAGCAGAGGGCGAGTCGCGCGGCCTCGCAGGCGCTCATCTGCAGCCGCTTAATGATGTAGCCGCCCAGCAGGAGGCCCACGCCGGCGCCCGGGACGATGACGAGTCCTGGTCCAGCCGGGCACAATCACAACCAGGGGCGGTTTCTTCATTAGGGCGATTGGGCGACGCACCACCAATGTCATTCAACCACAGAGTCACGCTAGCCGTTACTGTGCCTCTGGATATAGTCCAATCAGCGTCATGTCACGTTCTGTGGAGTACCGCCTCTTTTTGGGCGATTTCACTCCGGCTGAGAATCGCCCAGAGTGTTCCCATAGACTTACATTCAAAGATGTTTTGTTTCGAACGGCGGGCGCTGCAATGCATTCTCTATGGCTTCCGGGAGGGCATGCACTAACGTGCTTACGTCATCATACGTGCTTACGTCATCATACGTAAGCACGTTTCAGTCAACAATATTATTTGTCGCCACCTAGTGAAATCTTTAATAAAAGAAACTGAGTGGATTGTAATAATAGTGAGTATAGAAACAAACAAGATGTATTGTAATAGTCACTTTATTTTTCATTAATATTAAAGAAGTGAAGTTGCCTTTACATGCTTAAGCTGTTAATTTATCCATTGCATGGGTGGACCTTATCCTTATCAATCATCCAGACATTTGCCCCCCCCTGAGAGATTTTGCAGGAGCCGCCACTGATCACAACCGTCCCGTTCGAGCATTTGGTGGCAGTGCTCATTTGATTTTTTGGCGGCCGTCGTCCAGTGGTGGGAAGTCCACGTTCCCATGGCGAAAGTGGTCGTCGATTTGTCGGAATGTGCACGATGGGCTGCGATTCAATCGAGTGTGCGCTTGTGCCACCTTTGCCCGCGCCATTTAACACGTGCAACAAATCCTGTTGGTGATGCTGCTGCAGCTGCTGCTGCTGCATTGCCCAGTGGCGCACAAGCACAATTAATATAAACACTCAAACACATTCACCAACGACGCTGCTTTGCCTTAAAAAAAAACGAAAATATATAATCGGCGACATGTCTGGCCATTGCTCTTCTTCACCGATGTGTACATCAAATGTCCCATGCAGAAGGATCACTGCCTAAAACGTCACCCATTATATATTTATATATAGTTTTAAGGCCACAGTGTTATTGGCAAATGTGTTGAGTTTATTGCATTAATTCTAGATTTGAAGCTTTCGTGACTGCAATAATAATACATATTAGAATTTTTTTTAATATTTTTATTATTTTATTATTATTTATTTATTTTTACCTACGTGACTTTACCGAAAAAACCTAAGAGTATTTATTGCATTACATTGTTGCTAATTCCCCACAATAGCTCGCAAGCTGCCTAGCTCACTTGCAACAGGGCCTGCAGTGCGGTCGGCCCCACTGAATCTCCTGGGCGTCTGTGTAAAAGAGCTTCATGGCTCATCGGATTTTTCCATGATAAATATTCAGATTTTTTATTCTGCATCACGTAACTGCGGCGACATCACCCCAAAAACAGCACGTTTGACCGCACCTCGAGTATCACAGTCGGCGGCGAATGCGGCACCCGAATTTCTCTTCCTTCGATACATACGACGATCAGATTTGCATTCTGACGTTAAGTATATGAACCCCGCGTCGGAACTGACCCTGAGGGCTCATCGGCTGACAGCTCAACAACTAATTTTAACTTTCTTCGGGCCGCCTTTTAATTGATTTTGCCCAAATGGAAATTCGGGGAAGTTAATGTGTATAGTCGTACGGGGTGGGGGGGGGGGGGCATTCGCTGTAGTTGGTAGCCATTAGGCTCTCACAGCTGCTATGCTACTCAATTCGCAGAGTAGCCTTCTCGCTGCGAGGAGATGACATCATTTCAAAACAAGCATCGATTGTTCGCAGTCATCTGTGTCTTTGTGCACGGCAGCAGTCAGTGATGGTGGCGGTGATGATGAAGCGTTTTACCCATCGACCTCCACCAACCCCCTCCCGCCATCCACCCTCCACGTCTCCATGGCCACTCGTTTTGTCACGAATTGCACAATGAGTGGCGTCAACGGAAGCTGCTCGGTGCAATTCAATACGAGAGTTTGCCATTGATCATTCGTTGGCAAGACGCTTTCTTTCTGTACTTTCACTTCTTCTCCGGGAACTTTTGTGTAAGACGAGACATTACTGTTAGATGCTGCTGCTGCTGCATTGGCAGTGGTGCACAATAACAATTCACAACAATGACGAACACTTAACTAATAACCAGTCAATAACACTGTGACCTTAAAATGAAAAAATATAACGGTTGACGTTTCGGGCAATCGCTCTTATTCATGTGGCCCCCAAGGACACCAGCATGGGAGACGGTTGTTGTGAATGTGCAGTGCAAAAAAACAAAAAAACAGAGGGAGATTTGGAGTTGAAAGAGAGATGGAGAGAATGTGTCGACAATTTTTATGTTCACGTATCAACATATTTCATCTGGATCATCCCTTGAGGTGGAACATCTCCTGTGCAAAGGGTGCCCAGGGTATCAGGTGAAACAGGCGTCGTGGACTCGTGATGACTCGTACACACACACACAGAACTTAGTGAGTGAGATGTACAGAGAGGAATTTGAGAGAACACGCGAGAGATCGATTGATAGGGATTGCGAGAAAGGTGGAGAGATACTGGAGTATTGCAGAGATGAAGAGTGATAGAGAGGGGATGGTAAGAGAGATGGAGAGAGACTGGAGAAACAGAAAGAGAGAGAGATGGTAAGTGAGAGAGGGTGGGAGAGACTAGAGACACAGAGAGATGGTGATACTGGTAGGAACCTCCTGGTTACACCAGCCCACTGGGGATTATTGTGTCCGTCCGTCCGTCCGTCGTGCAGGGAGGGGCTGGGTGGGGAAGGGCTGGGTGGGGAGGGTGGGGCTGGTTGGGGAGGGGAGGGTGGGGAGGGGCTGGGTGGGGAGGGTGGGGAGGGGATGGGTGGGGGGTGGGAGGGGTGGGGCTGAGTGGGGAGGGGCTGGTCACCCCGTAGTGCCCTTATAAAACTCAACGTTTAACCTACTCACGCCGGCTTGTGCCCGCCCTCACAGTCGGGCATATTTGCGGAATACACCACGCCGCCGTTGACCCCGGCCATTGACTGAGAAACCCAACGTTCCTACCAGCTCCCTCCGCAGGAATGTGATAAATGTTAAGAGCGAGAGAGAAGGTGAGAGAGAAGTGGTTAGAGGGACGAGGAGTGAGAGAGAGAGATGGGAGAGAAGCGAGAGGGAGATGGTCAGAGAGATTGGTGCGGGAGCGAGAGACAGGTAGAGAGAGACGGGTGAGACAAACACAGATGGGCAGAGAGAGAGAGAGAACGAGCGAGAGATGGAGTGAGAGAGAGGGAGCGAGTACCGGTGTAGGTGCTGGCTCGGGAAGCAGGGACTCCGAACTGAGACTCGATGAACTTGGGGATGAAGGTGATGAGTGCTGTGACGATGGCGCACTCGGCCGTGTAGGAGAGGCTCACGAATAGGAAGGGCTTGTTGGCCATGATGCGTATCGCCGCACGGGGAAGCTCTGCACCGCAAGCACACAAAGACGAAGATCCCCCGTGTAGCTTACGCACACTTTTGGGGCAAGCGCTGTTAGTGAGCACCCTGTGAAGGCCGCCACATCACACAGGTACTCATTTGAGGCTGAGTCTACCTAGGGGAGGTCCAGGACCGTTTCAGATGTTGGCCGTGAGAGGGAATCAAACTCGGGTCGCCTGGTTCGTAGCGCAGCGTGCGAACCGGCTAGGCAACGGCCCCCCAATGAAGCACAAACACACACAGAGACACACACACTCGCTTGAACAAACACACGCGTTACAATACACCACTCAGCACTTGCAGTTTCCGTTGGCAAGAGCGTTGCTGCTCAATTAACCGCTTTAGCATGACGTACGTAACATCCCTATTCGGGCAAGTCAGCAGACCTAACGGCGGAGCAGGAGCAAGAGTAACATTTTAAGAGGTGATTGGGCGGCTCACAGGGCTTGTAATTCTCATGTGCAAGAGTAGCAGCGCTGATATTCCTGGGTCGTAATTTATGGAGCCACCTAAGTGGAGACGACGTTACGGTCTCGACCTCGACACGACCTCCTTATCACGATGCACCACTCTGTCATTATAGAAAATGCGAGTCCGCGTTACAGATTCATCATTTGTACTTACGTTGAACTTTTTTTCTCACCGTACGAAGCCGACCGCACGGTGAGCCCGATAGAAGTGTTCACAGGAAATTAGCCGAATCATAAACAGAAGGCAGAAATTTGGCCACTTTTCTCAAACTGTCCGGCCAACAACAAAGAGGCTCTGGGAATATCTCTTCACCTTCAAAACTGCCAGGACAAATCGTGACATTTGCCGAGCACCCCCCCCCCCACCCCCCAGCCATGCTACCGCAAGCGGTCACCTCGCATGTCCTCGCCAAAGTTCATCGTTGAGGTTCGCTGGGGGACGCGCCCTCCTGCCTCCGTGGCGGGTGACGGGACGCTCACGGCGATGCTGCAGACGCTGGTGCAGGAAACGGCGGAGTCCTGGACGCTGGCCGACTCAGCCTCCTCCACCTCCTTCCTCCTCCTCCTCTCCTCCTCCTCCTCCCCGTTCACTTTGCCCGCCGCCTGCTGCTGCTGCCGCCACCGGAGGTCATCGGGCCAAGTGAGACTCGTCGGAGGCCCTTTGGCGTTGCTGGAGGCGCGGGGAGGCAGCCGCTTGGGATACGCGAACATGGGCACGACCACGAGAAGCATGGCAATTGAGCAGAGGAGGAAGCCGCCCCACCTGGAGCACGGGGCGGAGGGGGTGGCACGCCGGGGACACGCGGCACAGGGAGCCGTTAGCGGGGCGGCAACGTTGCGATGGCGGGAACATTAATTGGGTCCTTGACCACGTCTCAGGCCCTGCCTGCCCAGGCCCTTCTTGCCACACAGCGAGAAGGGCCTGGGTTCGAGTCCCGGACTCGGAAGTCTTTCTGCATGTAGGTTGTATGTTGGCCGGTTTTGTGCCATCGCAAAAAAAAAACCCACGTACAATGTAACTGGCATTGGCCAAACATCCCCAAACACTGAAAACATTACCTTAAAAGTACTGTACCTAATTGGGATTACACACATCAGCAACATTCGCACGCGGATGCAAAAACATGGCAGGACCCGCCTGAGATTCAGTGAGGATTTCCTGGATAAGCAAGCGTCATCGTGAAATAATAACAATACTATCCTGTTCCAAACAGAAAACTCAAATGCGTACAATCGTCAGACCTCGCACACACTTAACCTTCCCAGCCTACCGTCTTGACCCCTATTCTCAGCTCCACGGTGGAGTTTGCGTATTCACCACCAGAGATGGCTCCCCGGTTCCACACCGCCCTGACCTTGAGATTCCTGGCACTGTTCTGGATCTGCTGTGGGTGCGTGACGCTGTGCTGTACGTCTTCATCACCGTCATCATCACTCTCACTGGAGGGGTGCCTACATCATCATCATCATCACTCTCACTGCAGGGGTGCCATCATCATTATCACTCTCACTGGAGGGGTGCCTACATCATCATCATCATCACTCTCACTGCAGGGGTGCCATCATCATTATCACTCTCACTGGAGGGGTCCCTACATCATCATCATCATCACTCTCACTGGAGGGGTCCCTACACCATCATCATCATCACTCTCACTGGAGGGGATGCCTACATCATCATCACCTTCACTCTCACTGGAGGAGTGCCATCATCATCATCACTCTCACTGGAGGGGTGCCTACATCATCATCATCATCACTCTCACTGGAGGGATGCCATTCATCATCATCATCACCTTCACTGTCACTCGAGGGGGTCCCTACCAGTTTCCAATGAAGCGAGGATCATCCTGGCTCAAGGAGCTCTGCTCCCCCGGCCACTCGGGGAACCCGATGAGGAACCCCCCGAGCAGGTACCCGGCAGCAGGTCCCAGGGCCCCCATCACGTAGAGCGCCGCTGAGAGAGGGGTGGGAGGGGGGCAGAAGGCATCCATCGTTAATCCAAATTTGCCAATTTCGTTAAATTACACGGCAGATGACTCCGCTTGGGATGAGGCACATGGTAACCAACGTCGTCCGGCAAAAAAAAAATCTCCCCTCAAGCCCTCTCGTGGCTAGCGGACATTGGGATTTAGCCTCCTGAACACACAGCCATACGAAATTATGGAATAGATGCGAATTCGGAGATCATCGGCCCCCCAACTGGCAGACTAATGCCCATCAGCTGGTCAGGTGTGCTTTGCTCACCTTGTGCCCACAGTGACAGCTGCCACTTGAGGGGTGGGTGCCTTTTCATATGTTTGAGATGAGATGTAAGGTGGTTTGAGATGCCTTGGCACATTGAGAGGGCGGGGGGGGGGGGGGGGGTGGCAGGATGGTCTATAAAAATACATCATATTTTGAGATCCTTGGTGAAAATCGCTATATAAATGGAATTATTATTGTTAGCGAGCAGCTATTAAGGTCAGTACGGCACGCGAGGGTGTGAAAGATCAGGAAAACGCCTCCCTCGTGTTCATTGTTGAGCACACCGTACTAAGTATTATTTCTAGGCTGAGCCAATGTCGAGAAGGCCCAAGCCAGTCCCGGATAGCAGCTGGCGATGGTGGGCACAAACAGCAATTTAACCTGGCTCACAGAGCTCATGGCGCAAGGTGCTAAACCACTGCCCCATGCCACCACAGCCACCACCACCACAGACGTTAATACAAACAAGGGGAGAGGGGCAGAGATACATTAAGAGTGACAAGATGTTCAAACAGGGATACAAATAGAGCGATAAAAGGACAGCGACAGACGCAGATCGGTGTGGAGATAGGACACGTAGAGAAACAGACCAGAGACGTGTACTCTACCTCTCTTGACTCTACATCTCTGCCTTCCCTGTGTTCTATGAAAAAAGGGCCATTGCCCGAAACGTCGCCAATTATACACATTTTAAAATGCCACAGTGGTATATTGATGAACGTGTTCAGTTTGGAGTTTGCTCATCGGTAATTCAGCACCGTTATCAACGCGACAGCATCAGCAGCGCCGCCAGAATAATTTCTTTAATTCACGAGACAGACGGGCAGAGGTGAATCCGTCTCATTTACGCCCAATCCTCTCCGGGGGGCGGGATGCTGTGCCCGGTGCAGAGGTGACATCACACTCCGCTCCCACGAGGCTCCACCAACGCCTGTTACCAAGTGACCCCTGCGTCTCAGCATGAATACGCCTCGTTCGTTTGTTCTCTCAGCCGTAAACAATGTTGCAATCGCTAGGCTAGGACTGCAGGAGCAGAGGGCTCATTAGTTAGCAGCAGTAGGAGCAGCATCATCCATCATCATCATCAGCAGCAGCAGCAATACCATTGACGTCATCATCAGCGGCAGCAGCAGCAAGTAGCAAGGGGAGAAATATATGTTTCATCAGCAGCATTAGCAGCAATAGTCAATCGCGTGCAGGAGGGCAGTAACTATAATTACGCCAACACTTTCAATAACCCTCACTCCTTGGTATGTATGTCGAATTTCTTTCGCACCGTACGTTGCCCACCGTGCTCATCGGAGGTATGTTACAATTGTTGTAAAGCGCTTTGGGTTAATTCGCCGCGTACATCTGCATAGGATAGGATCAGCAGTGGCAATACATTTGTCCTCATCAGCAGTGGCAGCAGCAGCGTTAAGAGCAACAACATCACCACCACCAGCATCACCACCACCAGCAGCATCAGCAGTGGCATATCTCAGCCCTCTGGGATCACTTTGAACGACTTGAGCAATCTTCATGCGATGGAAAGACAGTCCACCGCCAAGGGACCGCGACATTTCCACCCCTGGCTTCGGGCTGCCAAAAGTGATAACGTTGCCTCATTAACCATAATCATGATCATCAGAACCATCGTGACTCTGTCATGGCCATTACCACCAGCAGCACCACCACCACCCCATTCATCAACAACAGCAGCACCATCATCATCAGCAGCAATACCATCATCATCAGCAGCAGCACCATCATCAACAGCAGCACCACCATCATCAACAGCAGCACCACCATCATCAACAGCAGCACCATCAGCAGCACCACCATCATCAACAGCAGCACCATCATCAACAGCAGCACCATCATCATCAGCACCACCATCATCAGCAGCAGCAGCAGTACCATCATCAACAGCACCACCATCATCATCAACAGCACCACCATCATCAGCAACAGCAGCACCATCATCAACAGCAGCACCATCATCATCAGCACCACCATCATCAGCAGCAGCAGCAGCACCATCATCAACAGCAGCACCATCATCATCAGCAGCACCACCATCATCAACAGCAGCACCACCATCATCAACAGCACCATCATCATCAGCAACAGCATCAGCGGTGGCATTTCACATCGACAAGAGCGTGCAATTGTACACGGCACTAAGTCAAACCTTTGATGTGCTAGAGCGTGTTATTTAGGCAAACGGGCAACAGAGGTGACCTCTAGATCCAGGGATCACGGGCAGATGTGGCCACTCTCGGGTACCCAGCCCAAGGCGATGGGTTTCGCAACAAAACGGGAAAAACATTTTTGACAATTATTCATTTCACGAACATTCAAACGCCACCTCGGGCTAAAGGCATTCCACATTTGACAACTCGGCAAAAGCCGATATCTACGTAAAAACGTATCAGAATCAGACTATTTATTTCTACTGGTGTATAGCAGTTTTTATTTTACAGATGTTCAGTAGCTCTGGGTAGCAGCATTTCAAAAACATGTGTGGACATACGGCAGTACTCCTTTTAACGACGGAGATTGGTTCAATGACACCGGTCGCTAAGTGATTCGGTCGTAAAGCGAGTATAGGAAATACACGTTAAAGGCTTAATTCGTTACGATAGCATCGAAAGTTACCTCTTTTCACCCATAAAAGTACTTTATCATATTTAAACAATGGATATTAATACATGAAGATACTAACAACATTATAAACACATAATATTATTAGAAACATGGTGACGCAATGCATGAATTAATATTTACTGTACCTGCAACAGCACGTCGTTAACAGGGGAATGGTCGGTAAGCGAACACATTGGGCTCTATGGAGGCACTACACTACTATACACTACACTATACACTACACTATACACTACACTATACACTACACTATACACGACTATATACTACACTACTATACACTACACTACTATACACTACACTATACACTACTATATACTATACACTACACTACTATACACTGCACTATACACTACTACATACTATACACTACACTACTATACACTACATTATACACTACACATTGGGCTCTATGTAGGCACTACACTACTATACATTACACTACTATACTACTATACACTCCACTACTATACATTACACTACTATACACTCCACTACTATACACTACACTACTATACACTACACATTGGGCTCTATGGAGGCTCGTGGTCAAGCGAGTAGTCGTTAACAGGGGTAGTCGTTTAGAGCGGTTCTACTATACACTATACACTACGCTACTATACACTACGCTACTATACACTACATTATACACTACACATTGGGCTCTATGGAGGCTCGTGGTCAAGCGAGTAGTCGTTAACAGGTGTGGTCGTTAAGAGGGGTTCTACTATACACTATACGCTACACTAATATACACTACACGAATTTACACTACACTATACACTACACATTGGGCTCTATGGAGGCTCGTGGTCAAGCGAGTAGTCGTTAACAGGCGTGGTCGTTAAGAGGGGTTCTGCTATACACTATACACTACGCTACTATACACTACGCTACTATACACTACATTATACAGTACACATTGGGCTCTATGGAGGCTCGTGGTCAAGCGAGTAGTCGTTAACAGGCGTGGTCGTTAAGAGGGGTTCTTCTGTACATGTTTGGCACCAGTTATTAAGGATGTAGCAATGCATCGATTCATCGATTCACATTGATGAGAATCTACGATCGCGAGAGATGCATCAAAGCCCTGCGCGAAATCATTGACGTTTCCCACGATGGATTTAATTCGCATTCATTCTACGAGCCGTGTACTTCTCTCCAGTGGCGGCTCCTGCAAAATCTCTCAGGGGGGGCAAATGTCTGGATGATTGTTAAGGATAAGGTCCACCCATGCAATGGAAAAATTAACAGCTTAAGCATGTAAAGGCAACTTCACTTCTTTAATATTAATGAAAAATAAAGTGACTCTTACAATACATCTTGTTTGTTTCTATCTCACTATTATTACAATCCACTTAGTTTCTTTTATTAAAGATTCCACTAGGTGGCGACAAATAACATTGTTGACTGAAACGTGCTTACGTATGATGACGTAAGCACGTTAGTGCGAGCCCTCCCGGAAGCCATAGAGAATGCATTGCAGCGCCCGCCTTTCGAAAAAAAACATCTTTGAATGTAAGTCTATGGGACCACACGGGGCGATTCTCAGCCAGAGTGAAATCGCCCAAAAAGAGGCGGTACTCCACAGAACGTGACATGACGCTGATTGGACTATATCCAGAGGCACAGTAACGGCTGAGATTGGTGGTGCGTCGCCCAATCGCCCTAATGAAGAAACCGCCCCTGCTTCTCTCTCTCTCTCTCTGTGTGTACTTACAATTCCACGCGATTCCACGTCATCTGTGCCCACTCTGCGCACTTCTCAGATGTAATTTCCGCTTCTTTGTTGGCTGAACATGATATGAACCGTATCTCTGAGCAAGGTTTTATTGCGCTGATGAAAAAAAAGTCTTGTACAGGAACATTGCTACGTTGCTTATATATATATTTTTTTCTGCTGCAGTCAGGTTTAGCCAGCGAGGGCATGAAGATAATGCATCTGTTTTTTTTTTCTTTAAAAAAAGAAGGAAATCTAGGAAAAGTGAGAGAGAGAGACTCAAATAAGACACAGACAGAGATCCCACGTATAGCCTGTAACAGACTGTTGGGGCGAGCACCTAT